TTTACATTCATTCACTGAGCCTCGTCACAGCATAAAAAATGTGATTTCCCATCCAGAATATACTGCATAGTGGCTTATTCGTACATGTTATTGCCAATAATTTTCGATTTCTAGTTTGATATATATATATATTTCCCCCCTATTTCTCACCCTCTGACAACTCCCACCCTCCTCCCATACTACCTCTGCTGTCTATATTTGCTTTCCATTCCTTTTTTCCCAATATTTTATTGATTCAGAAAATATCTTTTTTAAAAAAATTATTTATTTTGAATTTTATTTATTCATTCATTTATTTGATTTTGACCAGAGAGAGACACAGAGAGAGAGAGAGAGTGAGAAAGCAAGCCACCAGGTCCAGGACTTGAACCATGGTCAGCCATGTGGGAATATCCAGCGCCTTAACCACCATGCCACCTGCTGGTCCCCTGATTCAGAAAATATCTTAAATAATCTATTTCAATACCAAGTTCAGCTGATAAATATATCTGTGAATACATGTCTGACTTTAGGTGTAAAAATCTGAGTAGAATGAATATAATATAAAGTAGCACCTAGTTGATGCTATATAGCTTACTGTAGTCGTTAAATAGGTATTTTTAAATATATTTTTTAATTTCAAGAAAAGTAGTTTTAGATTTAATAAATCAAAATAAAAGAAATGTTAAGAGAGCTTCGCTTAAAGTCAGGAAACAGATTAGGATTCTGTTCAAATAGTAGGTACATGAACCTTTCAGCAACTCAAGACAAGACACAAATCCTTAAATCCAGAAAACAAAGCATAGAAAAAAATCAGTAATATTTTAGTCAAAAGTCATAAGATTCTATTTCACCAGTTCATTGTCATGTACTTAATCTACCTTCCATGTGGTTCAGTCTTCCCTTTTAAATTCTGGGATATAATAGTCAACTCCATACTTGTCCCTACCATTACGCTGGCTATTTTCTTAGTTGTTTTTTAACTCTTTTTTCTGTGTGTCTGTGCTTAGTTTTCCTGGTATAGCACTCCCTTCAGAATTTTGGAGAGCTGGTGTGGTGTTGGTAAATTCTTTCAGGTTTTGTTTATCTGAGAATGTCCTTGTCTTTTTTTCCCATATGAAGAATAATCTTGCCAGGTACAGTATTCTTGGTTGAAATTGCTTTTCTCTTAACAATTTGAATATATTCTCCCATTCTTTCCTCACTGCATAGTGGCTTAATCATACATGTTACGATTAAGCATTGTTTCTGATGAGAGGTCCTCTGTTAGCCTGATGGAATATCCTTTGTAGGTAACTTAACATTTCTCTCTTGCCAATCTGAGTATCTTGTCTTTGTGGTTTTGGTCAATCTGGCTATGAGAGAATCTTCTTGCATTGATTCTATTTGGGGTCCTTTGTATTTCTTGGGACTGGATCTTTGAATGCCTCACTAGGTTTGAAAAGTTTTCTTCCAGGATTTCATAGAATAGATGCCCTTATTAGTTTCTTCACCTTCTGAGATACCAATTATCTGGATGTTTGGACATTTCATGGTATCTAGTATTTCTTGTATATTATTCTCTCTCTCTCGCTCTCTTTTTTTTTTCCAGAAACTTTCTCAGTCTTCATTGTAGATTTCTCTAGGTCAGCAATTCTATCTTCTACATCTGAGATTCGATTTTCTCTGTGATCTAGTCTGCTTTTAATACTTTCAAGGGAGATTTTGACTTCATTACAGCCTTCATCTCTAACAGGTTCATTTGATTCTTTTTTACAGTGTATAGTTCCTCTTTCAGATCTTGCAAGAATTTCCTCACCTCCTGGAACTCGTCAGCTCCTTTCTCCTGCATCTTCTGGAGTTCGTTGTCTCTTTTCTCTTGCATCTCTGTTAGCTTTGTCACTATGAATATCCTAAATTCTTTATCTGACATTTCCATGAGTTCCATTGTACTGTCTGAGGGTGAAGAAGAGTTATTCTTTTCCCTTGGAGGAAAGGTATTTTCTTGCTTTCTTATATTTCTTGTGACCCTGCAGTGTTTTCTGGTCATCTGATAGATTCTGTGTTTCTTCCTAGTTCTTGAAGTTCAATCTGAGCATTCAGAGGCATGCAGGAGGAAGTGATCTGCCATCTCTCTTCAGTTTCCCTTTTCACTCTTAGTGTGTCATATTCCACTAGAGATGAATCTGGAGGGAGAAGTCTCAGTAGAAGATCTTCACTGTTAGTCCCTGAAAGCAATATTTCACAGCTCATCTTCAGTAGCCATCTCAAGATGGGCCTGGGTTTATGCCACTCCCACTAGAAATGAATCTGAAGGGAGAAGTCTCACAGAAGATCTTCATTGTTAGTCCCTGAAAGCAATATTTCATAGCTCAAGTTCAGTAGCCATCTCCTAGAAATGATATCTTTGGATTTGAAATCTCTTTATTATTTTTAAATAACTTAGTTTTAGTCAAGATTTTCCAGGAAAAAAAAAACAACAAAAAACAAATCAATAGGTGTGTGTGTGTGTGTGTACAGAGAGAGAAAGAGAAGAAAAAGAGAAGTAAAGGAGAGAGCGAGCGAGCGAAAGCATGGTATTGTTTTGTTGTTGTTGCTGTATTGTTTTCAACAAAAAGCTCTGGCATATTTTCTTGAAAAATGCTGCATGATTTACTTTTCACCAGGCTGTGCCGACATGCTTCTAGTGATATGGGAATCCCCTGGATCAATGACAGCCAGTGTGCACACTCTGTTTATTTCCCACATGCTGTGCCCAGTTCAATATTATTTCCGCTGTAGTGATGGACACCAATTTTGGCCAGCATGGCATAGTACTCTATTTTGGATTTCCTCTTAGCTGGGCAGTTGTTGGTGAGGACAACCAACTTTGCTTTGCTTTATCTGATCATCTTCAGAGTCTGTACCCCACTACACACTTCCCACTTTTCACAAGTTGGACCCTAGAGTTAAACAACTCCAGCGACTTTTTTCACACTTTTGTGGCCACCATCTTCCTGCCTCAGGTGCAGGACAGCCCCCAATCAAGAGCAGCCACCAAGATGCCAGGGAGCAAGAAAAGCTCCAGGTATATTTTTTATGGGTTGGCTCATGCACTTGTGGTGGCTGGCTAGTCACATTGTGCAGGGCAGGCTCTCAGACCGGGACAGAGGGAAGTACTGATTTTGCAGCTTGCATTTGGAGGCATCTGGAGACAAAGTTCCTTCTTCCTTGAAAGACCTCAGTATTTTTCTCTTAAGATCCTCAATTGATTAGATTACACTCACATAGAGGATAATTGGCTTTATTCTATGTATACTGATTTGTTACTCTCATTTAAACAATACCTTCATAGCATCATCTAGACCAATGTTTGACCAAATATCTGGGTACTGTAGCTTAGCAAAGGGGATGTATAAAATTAACCACCCAACCCTTTTTATCTTTAGTCATTCTTTTCAGGAAATCCTACTTTGTCTGATATGAATAACATATTAGCTTTCTTACGATTTTGGATGGTACAAGAAGTCTTCAAAAGGTTCCTGGAAAATGTATATTCTGAACCAATTTATGTGACAATTTTGACATATTTTTGCATCAAAATAAATTTGCACTTTATTTTCATTTTCTATGAACTTTTTGAAGTCCCTTCATATAACCATTTCAAAAAAAGCAGTAGACCTTTCAAAAATAATTGTTGAATTAAAAAGTATGACAAAAAGTCCTACTCGCATTACTAGAACAAAAGTTACCTTTCGTTTATTTAATACAAATTTGTTGTTTCCATTTCTTGACAAGTTCTATTCTAGGAACTGAGGATAGGATAGAGAATAGAATGGATAAAAATCCCTGTTACAAGGAAGCTTATGTTTTACCTGACGGAAAGCTTTTTGCTAGCCACTACTATAGGTTTTACATGTGAATAATTAAAAAACAATTGTTAGAAATTGTTGGGAGTTTCTATATGTATTTTCAGATGACAAAGTTGAGCTTAATTCTTCTACAAATATCACATAGAGCCAGAATTCAGACTGACATCTTCAAACACATGTCTTAATTAGTGATCTATTGTGCTTACATGGACATTTAGGGTTTATATATCTTATGTTACCTTGCACGTGGGAGGAAAGCTTAATCAGAAATATTTAGCAACTGTAGTTCTGACCCCATGATGGCAGTGTTTGCATTGGTCCTACCCGTAGCTGTGAGTGTGTATAGAGAGGTTAAGTCAGGCCTCTTATTGGCTGGGCATGCTTTATGAGAATTCATGAGGATATCTTCATTTAACTTTTTTTTTTTTAAATAAAGAAAGAAGTATTGAACAGACAAGCCAGCTTTTGGGGTAGACCTCTCTACAATAAGAATGGAGAAGCATCTGAGGACCTCATTCGTTGCTTTGTGGCTTTATTTTTGCTGTAAGTTGGTGGGGGCTTTCAGCCAGCTTGCAGTGGAAGTCCAGGGAGCATTTTCTTAGGATTGGGGTAATGGTGTAGTGCATTAGTGTAGGAAGAGGGAAGAAAATGGAACTGTTTTCTAGTTTATCTGTGACTTGCTGTAGAAAGTAAAGAAGGGTTATAAATTAGAAGACTGATTGATCTCTTGACTGTTATTTTGCTTTTTGAATAGGGGCGAGTGGGAAAAACCAAGTGGAACAGAGTCCTCAGTCCCTGAAAGTCCTGGAGGGAGAGAACTGCACTCTCCAATGCAATTACACCGTGAGCCCCTTTGGCAACTTAAGATGGTACAAATGGGACACAGGGAAAGATCCTGTTGTCCTGACAGTCATGACTTACAGTGACAGCAAACGGTCGAATGGAAGGTACACAGCAACTCTGGATGCTGCTGCCAAGCGAAGCTCTCTGCTCATCACAGCCGCCCAGCTCAGCGACTCAGCTCCCTACGTCTGTGTGGTGGGCGCACTGTGCTCCCCGGGCACCAGCAGCCAGTACCCAAACCTGCACCTGGAGGTTATCAAAGAGGTTTGGGTGGGTAAGACATTATTTTCTACTGTGTATACTTTCACAAGTGAGCTAGTTGTTTGGGTTTAACTCTGATCTCAGATGACTGCATCTGTGTGACTTTGGCCAGGTAGTGGGATTAAATGAATTAATGCATGTGAAATTACGGCCCATCATAAATGCTCAGGTTTAGCTGATAATTTCAACTATCATAAAGGCTTCTCTAATACTAAGAAATTGAGAAGTCCTTGGAGTTCAGGGAGAGGAAAAATATGCTCCTGGTGGTTAATCACTAGAAAAACAAGAAAAATAAAAAACACATACTCCTTAGGATGATAATGATATGTGCAACATTGCCCATAGTCAGGATCACTGGGTCTACTCATATGGCTTATAAAATATTACTTTTATCTAAAATAAGTTTCTTTCTATGGAGAAACTTATAAAATAATTGGTAATAAGATAAAATGCATGAAAATGTAATTAATAAGTAATATTGAAAATATATGGAACAAATAAGTTTTAAAGGCATTCTCAGAAGTTCACTGTGTCACAGAAAAGAAGGGGAGAGAGGCATTATAGGGGAATAGAAAATATAATTAGTTTTCTTTTTTTTTTTGGAGAGATTTTTGCTATAGGGCACGTGCGCTTGCCAGACAGACAGAGAGAGACATAGAGACAGAAAGCGAGAAATCACCCCCAGGGGGGATGGTCATGCCGCAATCCCTTCTCCTCCATTCTCCTCTCGGGATCTTGGGCACGCATGCACACGCGCCCGGCGTGAGTTTTAAGCCACCGGGTCCAGGATGCGAACCACGATCGACTACGTGGGAGTCCAGCGACATAGCCATTACGCTAACTGCTGGTTCCCGAAAATATAATTAGTTTTGAAGATAGATGCACATTGTGTTTACTTATTAGATAATTATTTATTAAACACATAATAAGTGGCAGGTGTCTTTGTAGGTACAAGAAGTAACAAACAGATAAAAGATCTTCCCATTATGAGCATTTTTTAATGTATTTAAAATTTAAAAATATTTATTATTATTATTTAATTAGCTATAGAGCATGTACATTCACCAGAGAGACAGAGAGTGAGAGCCAGAGAGAGAGAAAAAAAAAGAGAGAGACAGAGAGAGGGAGAGAGAGTTTCTGCTAGGTCCAGTGATCAAACTGCAGTAGGTCATTTGGGAATGCAGCACCTTAAGTACCACGTTACCAGCTGGTCCCCTCCTGATGAGCTTTAATCTGGATTTGTCTATAGAGTTCACTTCCTTTTACAGGAATATCCTATCAAGTTTCTGTTCCCATGTAAGCATTTTTCCTGCTTGCTTTAGTGCCTGGCAGGTTTTATATGGCGATTGGAAGGCATGGGCATTCTTTCCAACTTAGGCTGGGCAGAATGGCTCCTGCAAAGAAGGATGGTGACAACAAGAAGGGCTGTTCTGCCATCAACGAGGTGTTGACCCAGGACTACACAATCAGCATTCACAAGCGAATCCATAACATGGGCTTCCAGAAATGCGCCCCTTGGACACTCAGAGAAATCTGAAAATTTTCCATGAAGGAGATGGGGAGTCCAGATGTGCGCATTGATACCAGGCTCAACAAAGCTGTCTGGGTCAAAGAATAAGAATTTGTCCCGTATCGTATCTGTGTGTGGTTGTCCAGAAAACGTAAGGAGGATGAAGATTCATCCAACAAGCTCTACACTCTGGTGACCTATGTACCTGTTACCACTTTCAAAAGTCTACAAATAGTCCATGTGGATGAGAACTGATTGCTGATTTTCAAATAAAGTTATAACCACCCCCCTCAAAAAAAAGTAAGACATAGGCATTGAAGTGCTATATCTATCATTTACTAAATTATGTGACTATTGACAAAATTACTTAAACTTAGAGCACTGACAGTTCATACTCTGTAATATCACATACCTCACCATATACTTTTAAGGATTGTATTTAATTAAATAGCTCTATTGTATTAGTGAAAAATAAATTTTCAACTAATGGTAGTTTTTCTTAGGCATAGATGGATTGATGCAATGAAGAAAAATAACAAGAAAATTTAAGTATGGATTAAGGTTAACTCTGCACTCTTTTACTATTGATTATATTATTTTACTATGGCTAAGGCTAAGAGTTACCTTTTATTTTGAACTGGCCTTATCCCATCCAGTTATTTGAACTGGCCATAATGGCTTCCAGGTTTGGTTTCATTATCTTATACGTTTTTGTGAACAGAAAATGGCAATTTCTTGCTTCTGGCATACATTTTTTAAAGTATTATTTTACTTAATTTTGGGAACCAGCAGTTAGCATAATGGCTATGTCGCTGGACTCCCACGTAGTCGACTGCGGTTCGCGTTCTGGACCTGGTGGCTTAAACTCACGCCGGGCGTGTGTGCGTGCATGCCCAAGATCCTGAGAGGAGAACGGAGGAAAAGGGATTGCAGCGTGACCATCCCCCCTGGGGGGTGATTTCTCACTTTCTGTCTCTATGTCTCTCTGTCTGGCGAGCGCACATGCCCTATAGCAAAAACCTCTTCAAAAAAAAAAATTAAAAAAAGTATTATTTTACTTAATTTTATTTATTTTAATTTGAGCAAAGAGGGAGAGAGAGAGAGAGAGAGAAAGTGAGAAAGCAAGACACTGGGTCCAGGACTCGAACTGTAGTTTACCATGTGGAAGTTCAGCATCCTTAACCACCATGCCACCTGCCAGCCCCAGCTTCTGGGATAATTTAATGGAAATTCTAAGATGAATCCATACATGCTTTATGGATGATGGCTCAGTTGTAACATACCTGTGCTTAGTAATTGTGTCAATAATTAGATTTATACCTAGGAGTTCATATAACAGGATTTTACATTGGGAAGCAGAGAAAATCATCTTTCTAGCTTTTTCTTGGGGAAGGGGTGAATTTTAGTTACTCAGTTTGTAACGCATACATGGCAGCTGCTGAAGACTGCTATAGAAGAGAAAAAGAAAGAAGATCTAGGGGACAAGCAATAGGGACAAGAAATCACCTGCCAGGTGCACGGTCACACCGCAGTCCTTCTCCTCCATCCCTTTTCCTTTCAGGATTTTGGGCAGGTGACCATGCACAGATGCCTGCTCTGTTTCTTGAGATGCAGGATCTGGGACTTGAATCACACTTGATTCACTTGCCTTAACCACCAGGCCACGAGGTAGGCTCTGCTTAGTTTAATAATAAATTGGATTCTATATTAAATAAACTTTAAAAATATCATGTAAAATCATCTTTGTTTTAACTGATACCATCTGCGAAACCAAATATTTAATGTGCTGGTTAGATTTTTACTTAATACAAATTAAAAGAACATTATATGTGTAATGATTAAAAGTTCATCTCTGTACTTCTTATTATAAATTCCTGGATTGATTGTGCTTGAGGAAATACTGATCCAGTCCTTGCCTCTCATTTAATAGATGAAATAATTGGGGTCCACAGGCACCACATGACCTAATCCTAGCACTCCTGTAGAGAAAGCCATCTGGCTTGTGCTAATCTTCCTGGCCAACGTAACCATCCATGGCTCTCCTCTGTCACAACTCCCTGGTTATTTCCTCTGTAGTAAAAATCATTACATGAAATTATGTTGTTAACAATATATTAGATCGCCTCTGTATTCATTCTTTCTGCCTCCAATCAAAATACAAACTCAATGGGAACCAGCAGTTAGCAGAATGGCTATGTCGCTGGACTCCCACGTAGTCGATTGCGGTTCGCGTCCCGGACCCGGTGGCTTAAAACTCACGCCAGGCGCGTGTGCGTGCGTGCCCAAGATCCCGAGAGGAGAATGGAGGAGAAGGGATTGCAGTATGACCATCCCCCCGGGGGGTGATTTCTCGCTTTCTATCTCTATATCTCTCTCTGTCTGTCTGGTGAGCGCACGTGCCCTATAGTGAAAACCTCTCAAAAAAAAAAAAAATAAAACTCAATGAGGTCAGGGGTATTAAAAGAAAAAAAGACCTTTTTTTTTTAAACTGTCAGAGGGTACACACACTTGCCAGAGAGACAGGGAGAGAGCATGACAGAGAAAGCATTCCCCAGTGGGAAATGGTCGTGAGCCATCCCTTCTCCGCCATTTTCTGTCCTGTCAGGATTTGAAGCTTGTAAGTCTGTGACCTATACAGGGAAACCTGAACCTGGGGGCAGCCATGGTGGATTGGAAAGAAACATACAGACACACAAGTAAAGGAAAGCAGAGATTGGGTTGTCTAGGCATCTCTGATGGAGACAGCGACGGCCCTGAGCTGTTCCTGGGTTTATTCTTTTGTAGGGTTAAAAGGGGGAGGAGAGAAGTGGAACGTGAACCCAGGTGTTTTGCTGTTATCAAGTGAAGCTGAGAAACATTTCATGTTTTGCAGTTCTGAACTTGTCTCTTCTGTATCCCAGGGCCTTCTCTGGGAGAAGAGAAGCTTCCTCTAACCTTCACTGTCCTGCAGCATGGGCACAAGAGAGCAGGACTGTGGCTCTGCTCATCTTTGAAGGTCATCCTTGTTCTGCTCAGATCTGGCTGCCCACTTCGTGCATGTATACTCATGCCCAGCATGATTTTCAAGTGACCAGGGCTGGAATTTGAACCTGTGGTCAGCCATGTAGGAACTGGCTCCCTTAACCATTAGGCATAAAGGCTGGCCCGGGTCAAGGATGTGGGCTTTTTAATCTATAGGTTTATCCTTATTGCCTAGAGGAAAGACCGAACCATAGCAGTCAGTCAAGAGCTATCTATGAACTGATGAGTGAAAGAACGCTGCTTGGCCCTCCTCTCTTTCTTCCTTTCCCTTTCTTTCTTTCCTGCCCTAGTGAAAAAGAACTTTGCACATATTCTTTTTTTGGTTACATGAGGCAGCTCAATTCATTTGAGTGTTTATACCCAGACTCAGAATCTTGCTTTCCTGTGGTCAGTGGTCTCTGTCAAATAATTGGATCCACTCGGGATCTCAGCCTTTCCTCCCTCAGCTGATCTCTTTTTCAGGTGTAGTCTGAATGGCTCCAAGGCCAGTAACTGTATGGTAAAATATCTGAAAAAAAAAAAAAAAAGACATACATAAAAGACATTAATAAGTATTAAAGTGACATTTCAGGTCAAATAATTATGAGCATGTATCAAAACTTTATTTTAAATTAATGTAAGAAAAAAAAGCTCCTTAAGAAACACATTCAAATAATTAGTCTTGGCTTTATAGGAGACTGGATTAAAACAAGGTCTGGGTAAAGTCATTATTATGGTCAATGGAATGGTTCATAACTGCCCTATTTTTGAATATCTGTGTAGTGGCTATTTAGTTCTCACAAGATTAAAACTCAACTGAATGTGTAAGACTAATTTCCCAGAGTTTTTTTTATGTTATTAAAATATATTAGAAAACTGGGGACCAGCAATTAGCATAATGGCTATGTCGCTGGACTCCCACGTAGTCAGTCGCAGTTCGCGTCCCGGACCTGGTGATTTAAAACTCACGCCGGGCGCGTGTGCGTGTGCGCCCAAGATCCTGAGAGGAGAACAGAGGAGAAGGGATTGCAGCATGGCCATCCCCCCTGGGGGGTGATTTCTCACTTTCTGTCTCTCCGACTCTCTCTGTCTCCGAGCGCACTCACCCTATAGCAAAAGCCTCTCAAAAACAAAAAAAATTAGAAAACTGATCAAGCACTTTGTCAGAAGTGATGGTTAATTCCCTTATGGGACTATGCATCATATCTATCAAAAAGGGTACATTCCTGGAGTTGGTGGATGGCATGGTGGTTAAGGGCGCTGGGTTCCCACATGACTAACTCTGGTCCAATTCCTGGACCTGGCAACTTGCTTTCTCATCTCCTCCATGCCCCCTCATTTTGTCCCTCTCTGGTTGAATTTAAATAAATACATAAATAAATAAAGTCAAATTAAAAAAAATTTCCCAGACCAGTTTGGGGAAATTAATCTTTCTCAAAAGTAATTCAAATCTTTGCTATAGTAGAGCAGGGGTTTGTCAGGACTCACATTTTACCCATCTCACAAATTAATAAATTAGCTGTTTCATTGACACTGTCACTAAACACGTAAGTTTCCTTGGTCAGAGACAAAGGACTTCGTTACTATGGCACAACAAACCGCATAAACATTGGTCCACCTGTGTTTGTTGCCCTTGCCTTAAGCCTGACAGGGGTAATACACTGGGTACAGAAGATGCTGGGCATGTGGTGGCACTGGACCTTAAGCCTGACAGGGGTAATACACTGGGTATAGAAGATGCTGGGCATGTGGTGGCATGGTGTCACAGCCAAGGAACACTGAGTTTGAAGAATTCACTGTTTTTATAGCAAGTTTGCTCTTTGTCTAGGAGCAGAGGTATAACCTTATCCCTCAAGGATTCTTATAAGATTGCTGCTTGCGTCACTATAAGAAATGGTTTCAGAGCAGTCACGGCCTTACATAATTGATATGCCAGCATCTAGGAGTGCAATACTTTCCATAGTCCTACAGTCTACCAGTATCAATAGATTTTTCTCATATATGCCACTCCATCAGTCATTATGATT